TGCCTGACTCCGACTCCTTCATAAATGGCAAGAGTTATATTAATTAGTGATAACAGATTTAACCATTTTGAGTCACTGCATCAACCGATAACACATTTACTGTAGTAAAATGGGAGCACAAGGCATTTAATCACCTTCATGTGAGTCATCAGGCTACTTAGATTGATAGAACCTAAACTATATTTATTTGATTAACATTTCTGGATAGGCAAACTTTCCTAAATTCCTATGAAAGTAAATATATTATGAGTCTTTATTTTGACATCAGAGTGAGTGTCAGTAAGTTTCTATCAACTCCAGTTCCACCCAGACATGCTGCCATTGTGAGGAGAAATGTCTAGCAACATACCTTCACCTCTCCTTTTACTTCTCTATTCTCTCCTTTGTATAAATGTATACTGTAACCTGTATCTGCAGCCATGGCTGGGTCCATATAAGCCTGCTGTATTTCTGTGTGAAACAAAACAGGAGAGTTGCAAAACAATGGCCTACTCTTAATTGTTCTTTTGGGTCTCCTGTTCCACCATAGCCATTCTTGAGCAAAGTGACTGCTTGCTGCCTTGGAGTATGGGGGTGGCAGAGAGGCAGGAAATGCAGAGAGGCTCTGATGGGGTAACAGGAAACTTCTATGAGAGCAAAGAAGCATGTAAAGTTGGTTGAACAGCTACCAGGTTATCTTCTAAAAACGAATTCCAAATCTACTCTTCCCCTTCTTAGCTCCCACCCCAGCTCTGCTTAGCAGCTCCTAAGTCTCCTCCTAAAACTGATGCATCTACTAGGATGTCCTTGCAGAACAAAAGCAAGTCAGCTAGGTCTATTTAATAAAGTAGAACACAGATGGGGAAGAATGTCTGTGTGCACTCAAACTATTCATTCTGAGAATGGCTCCCAGAGCATAGGACCAAATTCTGTGGAACTGTAGGAAGAATAGGTTATGCAAATGTTTCACCTATTTCTCCAGATTAATTATTCTGCTTCCAAACACCACCCTAAAATTTTGGGATGATTTGACAGGTTCTGTACTTGAAAACCTAACAGTCCTCCTCAGAGACTTACTCAGGCATTTTCTCTGTGGTCCAGAAACTTTCTTTCTGAATAAAAGCTTACAAAGTAATATCACAGAATCTGAATTATCAAAAGTCCTTCCCTACTAATGTTAAGAAATGCATAGGATATGCACAACCCTTGCCTTGCTTTCTGCATTGTATGACCTCTGTTGTCTATTCTTGTCCCTCTCAGGTAATGTTCACTGAGGAAGATGTGAAGTTCTACCTTGCAGAATTGGCATTGGGCCTTGGCCACTTGCACCGTCTGGGAATTGTATACAGGGATCTTAAACCAGAGAAGTATGCAAACCAAATGTTTCAGGGTTTCTTTTAGGGTGCGTTCTTGAATGGCTGAGATGTATCTTAGCAATTGGTCTAATAACCAGGACTGGGTCGGGTGAATTAACTGGAGGTAGCCATTAACTGTTCCAAATGGAGCATGCTACTTCCGGAAGCACATAGAGGGTGGAGGGCAATGGGATACAGTAGCATGGACAGTGTCTTTCTTTGGCCTTACTCCTTATTGTAGCTGCCATAGTGTTTCTGTCTACTATACAGCCAAAAAGTGGCTGAAATCTATTGAGTGAAAGGATCAAGCTGGCTTTTTGTCTAACTTAACATGGAAGTTGGGGGAGTTACATTTTTGGACTACAGTGCCAGAATTGTAGACTGTAATGCCACGAGCCATGCTAGATGAGGAACTGTGGTCATTGTAACCCCCCAAGTAACTTGTCCAAGCTCTCAACCTGTGCAGATAGAAACTCACCTCTGCAAGTATCTAAAAGAAATACCCAGTCTGCACTTTGGGAGTAACAGTACTACTTAATATGGGAGATTGAGGTAGCCGATACAAACCACATCTTGTTGTGCTCCACCTGTCCTTGTAAAGATCACTGACCACAGATCACAGTCTTTGGTAAATTCTCTCACTCGGTGCCCTGCTGGTTAGTACATGCTTCTTTCTATCCGAAAACAATATATATCAGTTTTCTTTATATCAAGGACATCCATTGAGTCCATTATTGTCTGCTCTGACTTTGTTTTTCAAGTTCTCAGGCAGACGTCTTTTCCAGCACTGTTACTGAACCTTTTAAACCGGTATTGCTAAGGAATGAAACTAGGGTTGCCAGGTGCCCCTTATTTGAGGGTTGGAATTATTCGAATCCCTTATATAGACTGAACAAGTTGCCAAAACACTCATATTTTGAGCTTTTGGGAATGATGAGAGGAACAGATGTTCTGTAAATATAATAAAATCAGATACTTTAAATTTAATCAAAATTGTCAAGCAATGTGGGCAATAGGTTAATTTTACCAAAAAATTTATCAGTACATTAACAGAAATCAATGCTTTTATTTAATACCTAGGCAGAAAGTAATATTGTTAATAGCTACTTCATCTTAACCCTGTGTGTCGTGAATTTTGACTGTCTCTATTGCTATTTTGAAAACTTGACATCCATAATTGAAACTGAGGATCGAAACCTGCTTCCTTGCAAACCATGTGCTTTCCTGCAGAGCTATACCACCACCCTTAAGACTTGGAGCAAAAATTAAAATCAGAGCAAAGGAAATTACTTGACATGATCTCTGATGTCTGAATTTTGTCTTGAAAGCCAGTTTATCCAACTATAATCTGTCTGTATGTATTCTGGTGGTATATTTTATTCCTGTTTCTGCACCTTATATGCTCTCTCTCTTTTCCTCATAGTATTCTCCTGGATGACGAAGGGCATATCAAACTCACAGGTACAATTCCCTTAACTGTTTGGTGGTTGTGGTTGTTAGTTTTTTCCTATACCTTTATTCTGAATACACTTTATTTTGTCACTGTTAAGCAGATAGGTGATTGAATTTTATTCTCTTTTGGTTCCCTGCATTCCCTTCCTCTTCATACCCACCCTGCCACTCCTCCAATGCCTTTCCTCTTTTGTAGACTTTGGTTTGAGCAAAGAAGCCATTGACCATGAGAAGAAGGCGTATTCTTTCTGTGGGACTGTGGAGTACATGGCACCGGAAGTGGTGAATCGCCAGGGTCACACTCAGAGTGCTGACTGGTGGTCATACGGGGTATTAATGGTATGCTTAAGGTTTTTATTTTTTAATACTATTTCCCTGCTCTCAGGGTAGCTATTATACTGACATAGTAAAACATCAGTATATCTCAATTAAATAGAAGCAGCCAGCATCCTATCAGATTAAAAACCACAAATCTAAACTCTTCACTTGTGCCAAGAAGACACTGTTTTTGGCACCAGGCAAACTTTTGTGGGGAGAGCATTCCAGAGATGAAGTGTTAATGTTGTCAATAAGAAGTCTCTGCATTGAATCGTGTTATCTGAAAAAGGGAATCCATTTGAGTGACCAAAGTTATTCTGGCACCAAAGATCCAAGTAACCACTGTCATCCCAGAGTGCATGGAGTTGCATGTTTCCAAACTAATAAAACATTTTAACTCCATAAAATTTATTTTTGGGATTGTTCAATAGTTAGGAAAATAATCAAGATCCAAAGGGCCTTTATTGAGGAAGGCCTTATCACCGCTATCTTCTCTGGGGCAGTCAGGGACATTTATAGTCTCTTGGATCTAGACCCAAGCAGTGAGACCATTCTTTGTTGATGTAATGAGTCCAAGAGGCCAGAGCTGAATAAACAAGTGAAGGTTACATTGCTCCAAACTTCTTATCTGCATCCTTTTGCCTCAGTAATGGAAGCTGATCTCTTAACAGTGATGCTTAGTACATATTCACTGTGCTGCAACCAAATGTTACCCAAATTACTGTGGATGATGAGTTATTTTATCATTTAGATGCTTTAGGAAAACAGGTCACTGCAGACTTTTATGAAAATTCTTTGACATCAGGCCTGTTCACTGTTGCTATTAGACCAGGTCTAATCGCTGGAAGTTACAGGAGGGTAGATTTCATTTGAACATTAGAAAGAATTTCTTGATGGAGTTCCTGCATTAAACAGGAGACTGGATTTGATGGCCCATGAGACTTTTCCCAACCATGATTCCTGCTGGAAAAGTGAAAATAAGGTTGTTCACCATTCTAGAAATTTCTGCTGGATAGCACTGTAAGGACCGTATGATGGCAGAGAACTACTGTTTCTTTGCCATACTGTGGGCTCAAAGATGAGTTCTTATATCTCCTTGGACCTGTTCTTCTTGAAGTCTTCTGCTACTTCTGTCTCTGTTTTTGTACACAATTCCCTAGTAGAGCATGGAGCCAAACAGGGTTGACCTGTACACAAACAAGGAGAGGCCCCCTCTACTCTCTCATCCATCCAGACTTTATTGTGAGCACAAACAGTTATGCCTGCTAGAATTGTGGAAATTCTTTGGCATTGTTTTCTTTTGCTTCATCCTTTAGATCATTTGTTACATGCCCCTAAGTTTTACCCTTGACTTACCCCACTGGTCATATCAAGATCCATAGTTTTGACCCCCAAACCTGCCTCCAACGTATACATGAGATCACCCTATTTGGAGAGAATTGTTATGCAACCAGATCATGGTCTCTCTGCCTAGATTGGAACACTGGCTCCACAGGCCAGTGAAAATTGGGAGAGCCCCATGGTGATTGTGAAGTTCTGAAGGGCCTCCAACAAATAATTCTCACCATGGATGTTGCAGTCCCCTAGGACAAACCATCAAGGAATCTCAGAATCAAGTCTGAGATCACTTCTGTCAATTCAAGTGGGAGGCTCTTAAGAAGTATTTATATTGTGCACCACCTTGGGTCCCTTTTGGGGAGAAAGGTGGGATAGAAATAAATTAAATAAATAAATATTTGGAAACTTGATTTTGGCTGTAGGAAAGCTACCTGTGATGGAAGCAAAGATGAGTGTTTGCTGAATCGGTGCTGCCATCCTGTGGCAATTAGTATTTAAAATCTGCCTGACTTTCTAAAGACAAAATGGAGTAAAAACAAGAAGGCAGAGTCCTGCAAAGCCAGTGTGGTGTAGTGGTTTGAGTGCTGGCTTATAGCTCCAGAGACTAGGGTTCAAATTCCCACTTGGCCTTGGAAACCCACTGTGACCTTGGGCAAGTCACACTACCTCAGCCTGAGAGGAAGGCAATGGCAAACCTTCTCTGAACAATTTCTGCCTAGGAAACCCCATGGTAGGTTCACCTTAAGATCTCCGTAAGTCACAAATGACTTGAAGGCAAAGAAAAACAACAGCAAAAAAGGGTCCTACATTGTTCTCATGGAGGAGAGGCTGGTTTATCAAATGCAGGCTGTGTTATTTTCAGATAGTGGAGGCAAAGGGCTGTGGGACCTTGGTGCCATCACTGCCTGGGCATGTGAGCAGCTCCTGTGTCTCATCCTGAGTGGTACTTCTCAAGATCACCCAAAGGAAAAAGGCAGAGCAGCTACATCTGCTACTTGTTGCCAATTGTCCAAACCAATCTGGATGGTAGTAGTAGTTTCTAGCAGTTCCTTGCTCCTCAAAGTCATGCAGAGGTGATTGCTGTTGTTGCTCCTTAGGATTGGGCCAGGACTTGCCTTTGGTGGGCTTTTCTGGTGCACCAGGACCCCAGCAGCTGACCAGTGATTCCAGCCCCTTGACCAAGATCTGCAAAAGTGTGATGCACACCCACATTCCCTTTTATGCCAGTCTAATGGTTTCCATGTTTGCTCTTTTGTTTGCAATGAAACTTTAAAAAATGAAACAGACACAGACAATTTTGCAGAAATTTTGGTTTATTTTCTTTTGTTATATGAATCAAAACTAGGATTCTAGAAAACAAGCTCCAGCTTCTCATTAATGTATTTGGAATAGTGTCTAGTAGAGAAATGTTCATGGTGTGAATTCCTTCACTACTCTACAACATTTCTTCCAACGTTGTTGTTGTTGTTGTTACCATATTTATTTATATCCTGCGGTTTATAGATTTAAAAAACAATACAATTAAAAACACACAAAAATGAGCATTAAAATGGAATTAAACTAGTATAGTATTAAAATACATCACTCATTAAAGGAATAAAATGCAATTTAAAAGATAAAAGCACTTAAAACAGTACATATTAAAATAGTTAAAAATACTAAATACATTAAAACAATAAAAATAAAACTATATACAGATCATTGAAGGTTTTTTATGTTACATGTTTATGTGTTTTGTTCTGTATGGAATCTTTTCTTCCAAAATAAAAAAAAACAAATAAATGAGAAATTAAGTAGGGTTACTTGTAAACATTCTGCAATCTTAGATTAAATGATGTGGGGAGCAAATTGCAAAGAGTCATTATGACAAAGTTAGTTGGCGCATTGCTTCTGCTGTTAAAGATTTTTAAATTTTATGTGTTGCTTCTGGATTCATCCAAGGGCTCTCAACATGCATCATAATGAAATACACATTAAATAGTAACACTTTTAAAATAAGTAAAAGTAGCACTATTAAACATTGTGGTAAAAGTATACAAAAGTAGAATTATATAAGCAGACTGAGAGTTGCCTCCAGACCCTCTGGTGCAGGAGTAGGCAACCTTTTTGAGCCGGGGGCCGGGTTGCTGTCCCTCAGACAATTGGGAGGCCAAAGCACCAAAAATAAATAAATAAATAAATAATTTTTAAAAAATATGCATGCACACTCTCAGCCCCAGAAAAGCCATGGCCAAACCCCTGTGGAGATTTTGCCAAGAAAAACCCCAAGAACAAGTAATAACAATAATAATCAATATCATCATGGCGGGTGGTGGGGGGCGGCAGTGGCGGCAGGACTGGCCTGGGGCTGGTCCAAAGGCCTCGAGGGAGCGCATCCGGCCCCCGGGCCTTAGGTTGCCTACCCCTGCTCTAGTGATATGTGATATTCTTGCTTGCTGTTTGTTGCAGTTTGAGATGCTGACGGGGTCCCTGCCTTTCCAAGGGAAGGACCGAAAAGAGACAATGACTCTCATTCTCAAGTAAGACCACATAGCTTTTCAGCCTATTGACTTGGAGGAGGGTTGCCCTGGGATAAACCACTACTCAGTGACAACATTTGCAAAAGGAGACCTCTTTCAAAAGAAAGCAGGAAGTAGAAGGGGGATAGATGAATATTTGTCCAGTGCCTCCATTCTATCTAGTAGATTGGTTTCTGTTCCTTTCTGTTCATATGATGTTGTATTTTTCCCCCACTTTGGAATTTTACTTTATCTTTTTGAATTCTTGTAAGCCACATTAAGGGCCTTTGCAGACTGCCAGAAATATTGCAAATTGAGTCCACTTTAACTGCCCTGACTCAGTGCTAGGGAATCATGGGAACTGTAGTTTATTGTGGCACTAGAGCTCTCTGATGGAGAAGGCTCAATGTCTTAGAAAAAAATACAGTTCCCATGATTCCCTAGCACTGAGCCAGGGCAGTTAAAGTGGATTCTGTTTGCACTATTTCTAGCAGTCTGCAAAGGCCTTAAGTTTGCCATAAGCACCAGATAGACAAAGTATAAAGGTTTGCTGCCAGGTACGGTCACAAATGTTGTTCACCACGCTCTCCCCTGAATTGGACAATGCGTGGATCAGATAACATTGGGGGGGAAATGAAGTAGGCCTATGCCCTACCACTTGCTGATGCCTGTTCTGTACTTCTTGGAAGTTATATAGTGCTAGAGGAACAGTTCTAAATCCATAGGTTTTTTGTGGGTTTTTTCGGGCTGTGTGGCCATGTTCTAGAAGAGTTTCTTTCTGACGTTTCGCCAGCATCTATGGCTAGCATCTTCAGAGAAAAAAGATGCTAGCCATAGATGCTCTGAAGATGCTAGCCATAGATGCTGGCGAAACGTCAGAAAGAAACTCTTCTAGAACATGGCCACACAGCCCGAAAAAACCCACAGAAAACCTATGGATGCCGGCCATGAAAGCCTACGAGTTCTAAATCCCTTTGCTATTTCAACAGGCCTGACTTGTGTTTTGTAAATGCTCAAACCATTTCCCCTCCTTGTATCCATCCTTGTATCCATACTGTGAAAAACAAGACTGCAGAGGGTTCTGGCATGCTGGGAAGCTGGAGGTGCTGCAGCATCTTGGTTTCTTTCTCAGTGACTCACAGCTGGTTGCATAATATATATGTATGTCTGTATATTTGCATTCTGTTTAGAGCAAAGCTGGGCATGCCGCAATTCCTGAGTGGTGAAGCACAGAGTCTCCTGCGAGCACTTTTTAAGAGGAACCCAGCCAACAGGTTAGGTAAGATGATGCCCTGGTTCACTTTGTGCCTGAGCATGTCTGCAACACAAAAACTATCACATACATGAAGACAGATGAATGTTGCATCTTCTTTTATATATATATATATAATTATTTTTATTAATTTCATTATTAAAAATTGACAAATTAGATTCTTGAATTACAGATGCATACTTAAATATAAATTGCTTCCTGGTGCTGGTTAACTCAAAAAGGCTTTCATTTCTGTTTTCGCACTTGAACCTCTACTTATATACAAATTCTTCTACCTGTCAAATTATACGTCATATTAGAACATCCATTGTATAACAATATATCTAATACTGGTTTTCCACATATTGATTACTCAGATGTCTATCTCTTACTTTCTTAAGGCTAATTCTACACTTTCATAAACCCAAGCCTTATAATACATAAAACTTGTAAAAACATAGTGATAATAAAGGTAAAATTAATCAAGAAATCTTGTAGTGTACACATCACCCCATCTTTGATTTAAATAAGTTATTAAAGCTTCCCATTCTTTAATAAAGTGTATTGTTGATCCTTGCCTAAGGCAGATTAAGTGGTCCATTTCCTCTAAATCATATAATGTAAAAAATACATAAGATGCCTGTTGCCTCTTCAGGGATGTTTGCTGTGAAACATAGAATGATTAAAATATTGACAATAAGTTTTTAGCCCTTATCAAATGTAAACTTTCTGGGATTCAGAGACTAGCAGTACAATGGAAAATTGAACCTGAGGAAGGTTACTCCTTCTGGGTTTTTGCGTACAACTGAAAGCTGCCTTGTGTAACTTGAAATGGATTTTTTCGGACAAGACTGGCGTATCTATCGTTCCCTGAGTCTACCATGTAAATAAAGTAAGAAACATGGGCAAATTTTATACAGAGCACTGCATGGGTGGCATGTCTTGACTAAGTTAAAAGATGAGCTTAAGTATACTATTTCCAGTATGATCAGTTTCAGAATGTTACTTTTAATGTTACAATTCCCAGAATCAAATGCACCCAATTTAGATGATTCTAGAAGCTGTTCGAAAAGAAAACGCATTTCCAACCTCAGAGTATCCTGTTGCAGAGAATCCAGAGTTTCTGGGAGGTCATTCTTTGAGCCACTTGGCTGAAGAGAAAGGGCTACATGTGTAATGGGTCTTAGAAAACAAATTCTGCTCTAAGAAGAAACGGGAAGAATCTGACTGATTGGGAACTTTATCTGTGTGTGTGTGTGTGTGTGTATATATATATAATTTTTTTTTAAAAAATGAAGAAATCATTTTAAAATGATATATTAATTTTAATGAATTTTCTTGCCCTTTGTACCAGTGTGCTTCTGGTATCAGTGAGTGCAGAAGTGTATACAGAACTTCTTTTCTTTACTTTCCCATATAGCTCTAGAATTGTTTGATGGACAAAGATCCAGGGCTAGCAAAAGGACTTCTTCATGCAACACATAATTACTGACAGGACTGTCCAACAGAAGTTCTGGAGATGGCTGCTAGCTTAGCTGACTTCCAAGAGAAAGAAAGAGAGAGAGAGAGAGAGAGAGAGAAAGAAAGAAAGAAAGAAAGAAAGAAAGAAAGAAAGAAAGAAAGAAAGAAAGATTGGATAAAATCATGGAACTCCTGTTAGTCAAGAAAAGAATTTGAAAAGGTTAATTTGCCAGGCAAACCCATAGCAGGTGGCCGTGCCGACTACAGGATTCTGCAGGTTATCAAAAATGTACTTATTCCAAGATACAATCATAGCAAAACTGAGCCTCCAGGCTCAGGCAGTATATCTGCAAACCAATTTCAAAGGGACATGTAGCAAAGGATGCCTGTTGCCATTGAGCTCTGTTTTTGAGCTCCT